CAGGGAAAGGTCATGAGTAGCTTGACCACTAAAACTTTATGATATGAATTAGACAATGTCTTATCTCAAGATCGCATTCAAACAGTCTTACTACAAATATAACATTGTCAATAGACTTAAACTACAGAAACAGTTCACATAAAGGCAAATAATTCTCAAAGAGTTCTTCAATACAGCGTTGGAAATAATTATCAAACGTGATAGTTTAGATGTGAATATAGACCTAAATGTTTCCATAATTGGCCAAAATCTCCCTAATTGTTAACTCAAGATGACTCACTATCAAAAGTTTACCCTGAATTCAGACTAGAAATTGTTGTTTCGCGAAGAATTCTCCAAGGCCCATAGGGATGTGCAGAGTGATTGTTCTTTTTTTTTAAAATCCACGTTACTTTCGACATTGATATTGGAGTTGAAAGCTAAGAGCCTTAGTTCTTTAAGTTGAATGACCCACTGATATGGAGTACTGAGATTTATTGCAATCGTTAAAAAAATGATCGAGAAGTCTGATAAAAATCTAATCGTGATTTAACAATTTTAAATTAAAGACTTTTATGATATAACTTACGTGAAATGAAGTGTATTTGAAATAATTGTTTCTCAGCAAGGCGAAAAATTGAGTTTTAAATTGCGGAATAATCAGTTATTTCTGTGTAGTTCCGAAATCGTAATTCAAAATAATTTTCAGGCACGTGGCAACGTTCTTAAAATAAAATCTATATCCTATTATTTTAGTTTAATCAAGCGTTATTTCATCTTTTTTTTTCTCTGAAATTACGCTACTTCTCCGCTTTCTTGTAGCTTATGATGAGGTTCTATTATAGTTTGAAAACGTAACACAGTGTATTGAGAAAAACCGTTTACCAGAGAACAGTAACTTTTGTTTTAAAAAGACTATTGCATTGGGGCTTCTTAGACTGATACCCTGGCTATAACTCAGTCCACCCAAGCGGACAGAATTTGCATTTGTCCAGTTTATTGCATCGACTGCAACGAATGTGATAAATGGTTTCAGTCGGAGCACACCAGGCCCACTATTGAGTTCTCGGGTTTGAATTTGACTCGAAAGGATTGCAATGGTCGCTATTATGGGCTTATATTTCATACACTCTACCATCATTTCATGCGTTGGTGAGCATTTGGAATACTGAGTGTGATTAAAGATCACATTACAAATGATGTTAAAACCATCTTTAGGCAATATGAGTAGGCCTAGGCTTTGTTCTTATGTATATATTTAGCATGTTTTGATAAGAAGTTAAGGGTTGCGTGACTGGATCATATACTATATGTCACGAGTTACTCCTACAAACTATTTTAAGATGAGTATATACAACCACAGGAAAATAGATTTTGCCTTGGTAGTTAAAAGCACCCTGTGTTTTCCATACTCGAGATAGGTGAGATATGCACCAAGGTTCCACGTGCTGTACGCCGTCTTTGTTTAAAAAGGCCCTTGATAGTTGTAAAACGAGGAAGGCCGCTTTTTTGACAAAATTGAACTTTAGACCCACTGCATGATGTTGAACATTGTCGATAGCCCAATCAGGCACTAAAAAAATTAGACGTAAGATAAATATACATTTTATTCTTTTTACCATCAGAACTATTTTCAACCCTTAATTGTACACCACCACTTTGTTTTTCTAACAAATCTGAAAATATAGTTTTAATGCGTTTTTGTCGGCTAATATGTTGGGGAGAACTCTCTCAGACGCTCCATTGGGATGATTACGCCTCTAGGCCTACCGTACAGAGCTACCGCATTTTGAAACCTTAAACATTTTGCCCCCATTAAGTCAGTCTATCTCATATTAGTACCTTAAGTCTCGGCAGGCTGATACCGCCACTGGTATACAAAAGTTTCGTGCTTTTTTTTAATTTTATATCAAAGAAATTATCACAGCTGCAAAAAAGGTTTGAATAGTATCACATAGTCCACATAGCTTAGCTAATATTGTTTTCTTACCAATAGATTACTACCATTACCATTTAGTTAATATAGCCTTGTTGATGCTGTACTTAGCCTAATAGTTTAAGGAAATTTAACTCATAACCAGCTATTATCACGTGGACTATGTATGGCGACAAACAACTCTAACTGTGGAAGACAACTTTCAGATTAGAGGTCCAGACGTCAATAACGTCGGATTTCCCGCCAAACTGCCTTCTTACATTATCGTTAAGAATAGTTAGGCCTATGTGACTGATACCCAACTTCAGCTCCATTAATTATCTAAATTATTATTGAAAATTCAGAGGATGATTTGATTTCCGGAAAATTGTTGTAAAAATTTGAGATCACTTCTCATGCAATATGAGTAGGCCTAGGCTTTGTTCTTATGTATATATTTAGCATGTTTTGATAAGAAGTTAAGGGTTGCGTGACTGGATCATATACTATATGTCACGAGTTACTCCTACAAACACTATTTTAAGATGTGTACAACCACAGGAAAATAGATTTTTTATTGCCTTGGTATTTAAAAGCATCCTGTGTTTTCCATACTCGAGATAGGCCCAGGTGAGATGCCGTATTTGTTTAAAAAATCTCTTGATAGTTGGAAATCGAGGAAGGCCGCTGTTTTGACAAAATTGAACTTGATACCCACTGCATGATGTTGAACATTGTCGATAGCCCAATCTGGCACTAAAAAGTTGGACGTTACATTTCATTCTTTTATTCTTTTTACCATCAGAACTAGTTTCAACCCTTAATTGTACACCACCACTTTGTTTCTAACAAATCTGAAAATATAGTTTTTAATATGTTAGGGAGAACCATTGTGATGATTACGCCTATAGGCCTACCCTTCTACAGAGCTACCGCATTTTCAATCTCGACCATAAACATTTGACCCCCATTAAGTCAGTCTATCTCATATTAGTACCCTAAGTCTCGGCAGGCTGATACCACCACTGGTATACAGAAGATTCGTGTTTTTTTTTATATCAAAGAAATTATCACAGCTGCAAAAAGGTTTGAATAGTATCACATAGTCCACATAGCTTAGCTAATATTGTTTTCTTACCAATAGATTACTACCATTACCATTTAGTTAATATAGCCTTGTTGATGCTGTACTTAGCCTAATAGTTTAAGGAAATTTAACTCATAACCAGCCATTATCACGTGGACTATGTATGACGACAAACAACTATAACTGTGGAAGACAATTTTCAGATTAGAGGTCCAGACGTCAATAACGTCGGATTTCCCGCCAAGCTGCCTAATGTTACAGTCATTATCGTTAAGAATAGTTAGGCTGTGCTTATGTGACTTATACCCATTGTTAGGAACTCAACTTCTGCTCCAGTAATTATCTAAATTGTTATTGAAAATTCAGAGGATGATTTGATTTCCGGAAAATGGTTGTAAAAATTTTAGATCACTTCTCATTCCTTCAAAAATTAATTTGCCAGACTAGACTCTATCAGATATTATAATTGAGTATGCCAATTGTTAGTGGGGGCCCGTGAACTTAAATGGGTTAGGGCCCCTTCCCTGTTTTTAAAAACATGTCCTCTTCCGCATTTTTGGAGGGTAGGTGCCCGTGAACTTGGTTCAACCACTAATGGTGACGAATTATATAGGCCTTTGTCGCTTTTTTCTCTTGTTTTTTTTTCTTGTCAAAACAATTGTGAATTTTAGTAGACATCGGACAATCTTAACCTTATGAAGTTTTGTTTGGACCCCGTTGAGTGATAGTGAAATGGTGTCTGGTGACGATTATTAAGTATTTGACTTATCGATAGTTTGTCGGTTGCTTAAAGGAATATGTTTCCCCTCTTTCTAGAGATACCATTATGGACTCTTACAATTTACTCTGAAATCTGCACACTTTAAGGATAAAAGTAGGGTAATATTTATTAATAATGTATTTTATTAGATAAGATGTAAAAATTGGCAGAGATGAAATATATATCATTTCATTAATATAACCATAACAATAACAATAACCATTTGTTAAGCAAAACAGAATTGAAAGTCATTATTTTGAGATTAAAATAAGTCAGTATACTTATAAACAATTCCACATAAGTTGTAATTTCGTAATATATTTCAAATAATATTTTTGAACTTAAAACAATAAAAGTTGATTGAAAGAAGAAACTGAATTTTAACACTGCACAGCAGGAAACAGAAAGATAAAATTATGTACAAAAAAACAGCTTTGTACTACCATTGAGGCAGAAACCGTGCACTATACACGCAAATATACAGTAAATATAACATAAAATTAATAAATTATAATATATTTCAACAATTATGTACACAATTGGTTATGTACAACATAATTATAAAGTTATTGAATAATGCTGAATATTCATGTTTCTAGTAGAACACTTCTTATAGTTCAACTCTTAAATGAAAATCTTAATAAAATCTAAAACATTATAAAATGAAGATAATAACAAAATGGAAGTAAGGAACTTGGAGATAATCTTTAAACAAGATTTCTAATAGCTCCTGTACTACTTTTGAGATTCTTTTATTTTGATTTTGAGCTTTAAACAAAGTTGAATTTATGTTAAAAAAAAAAAAATTTCAATCCACAACTTGCATAAAAAATAAACTTCTGTTTGGATTTTTACACATTCAACATATTTTTGCGTTCTCTGGTCATTTCAAGTTTGCATATCACATCTGTACAAAATCATTCTTTATCACTTTGAATCAGGCCATACATAATTTTCGGTTAGATTCTGGACTTAACACCATCAGAATTTTCTCTACAGGAAAAGATTTAATAAACATGGCACATCCCTTCAGTGTCTACTTTCATGGAGAATTATAAATGTCTCTCCAAATATCTAATGTTCCTTTACTAAGTTGGAAACACGCAGACATCCAGGGCAGACTTGTTTGTCCAGTAACCTTTTCTCCAGTTCTGAAACATCTTCTGTAACTTATTCAGTTCACATTAATAATAATGCTGTAAGTTTCTGGAATTGTGTTAGGCTGAGCACTATGTGTGATTAAATATTTCTGAACACATTTACATGCTCTGAGCACGAAGCACAGCACGCTGATAAATGTCTGATTCTATAAATCGAGGGTAAGAGTCTTTTTCCATCAGAGCTTGAACACGTTTTTGAGCATCTTGAAAACAATGTCTGGTAGGACATGTTAAATTACTGATTGTTGTTGCTCTTGTTTTTGAATCAAGATTTATCTGAAATAAAATGAACCTCAAATTAAAAATCATATAACAGTAACCCCATTATATCAAGAACAAACATACTTTCATAATATCATACTTTTTCCAAAAAGATGTTTTTTATGCAGAGGGAAGTGAATAATTAAATTTTCAAAAGTTAAGGTATGCAATAAAGAAATAAATTTACATAAAAAAAATTTCAAATTCTGCTTTGCTTACCTCTTTTGGAGCTTGAGCAGCTACGAAGTCAGAGTATATTTTCTGTGCCGTACTGGCCAATTTACTGGATTTACTAGTTTTATACTGTTCACATGCCAACCAAAATTCTAAATTTTCTTCACTAAATTCTGAATGCAGGAAATCTTTAAATAAATCTATTCCAACTGAAAAGAGAAAAACAGTCAAAATTTAAATAAAATGAAAATTAATGATGATATAGAATATAATTTTAATTTTTTAGTATACTGATACAATATTTGTCTTTTGAGTTCAAGTCTGATGACTACTGGAGATAATTATTTTTTGGTTCACTATCTACTAAGATACCTTCTGATTGCATCAAGAAATTGCTATTATAAATTTTGTCAGTTAAAATGATAAAAAGAGAAACATATTGTGTGGAGGTAAAGAGTTTTAGTTGACTTACTTTTATCAGAAAGCAGATAATCAAAGGATTCTGCCCATTTAGCTAATTCACTTGCTGATGGATTACCATATTTACCAGTTATATGTTTAATACCAGCACCTAATGTTGAATCTGTGTGTCGTCTTTTTAATAACTGAAATTTTCGTTTTACATTCTTAGCTCTGAAAAATAATACAAAAACAACAATAAGATATAGGTAGAGATATGCAATAAATAGGTATAATTTAGGTTATGCTCTAGTAGAGAATCTGTATGGGATAATTACTTTAATATAAATAGATATGAAAGTATTGGATTACTTTTCATGTATAAAGTGGACCCCTTTCATCAAAACATGTTTAGGATTTCATTTCTAAGTCGCAAAAACTAAATATACTTACAGGCTCCTTGATTTAGGTTTACTCTGGGTCTGAAGCGCTGCAATGGCACCAAATTCTTCTGTTGCCATCATGGCAGCGTCTGCTGATGATGTTTTATGAACTATTCTAGGTCTGTTTGTCTCTTCTTCACAACTTATACTCTTACATCTTCGACTTTCCATCTGAAATGAAGTCAATTTAAATCATAAGACATTGCAAAAAACAATTCCATATAATCATAGCAATTATTCTTATTTTTTGTCTTGAAGATGTGCTCAAATGTCAAATTTTCCTATTTAAAATAAGATTGTTTTATGCTAAAAGACAAATCTGATTACCTTCAAACATGTAATTTAGATTCATTTAAAATAATACATGAATGAAGGTGTTTCATTATATTAATTGTTAATGGAGTCATTATGTATCATCTCTCACCTAAAAGCTTGTTAAATAACATTATTAACACATGTGATATTAAATATAAAATATTAAATTTGCTTAGTAAGGATGCTATAGTATGATATAGTAATAATCAAATCATGATATTGATATATTAAACCTGATTTTAGGTCCATAACAAACAATGAAACCCTATATAAGTATATGATATATTTATATCATTTTAATTCCCTATAACAACTTCTATTTTAATTCTATTCAGAATACGAATTCTATTACCAGAATTTTCAATAATGATTAATACATAATGATACAGATAAGATTTATTATATGTAAACAAATTTTCTGATTTCAACATCATATAATCCAATTGTGACAACAACAACAAATTCTAGAAAATTCATTGAGTAGGCAGTTATTTTATTTTGATAAACAAAATATTTCATTTAAAAATTAAACACTCAAGACTATTTTTTACAATACAAATACATAAACTTCACAAAACAATTGATATTGTTTTTTTGTATTCTAGAAAAATATGTTTGTTAATATAACTTTTATGATAAAAGTAATTCAAAATATAAATTTTGTTATAATATAATATAACCTGACATATACAGCCAATCTAGATCAACAACCCTTTGTCTAGCTTTCCAGCCAAAATATACATGCACCTAAATCTCATATTTAGAAAGATAAAAATTCAAATCTACTCTTAATTTTTGGTACATGTCAGACATGACTGGCAAACAGAAACTAATCGACATCTGAGAATCTTTGAGTTCAATATTAGCATCAGATCTCTTTCTTATTGCCTAGAAATAGATTCTCACTTCTGCACCCATTGTTCATGATGTCAGAAGAGTACAACTTATGTTTGAACCAAATCCAAGTAATTCACTGAACCTAAATAATTAGTACATATAGATCAAACATTCCTACCCACAATAGCCAGTTCCATATATTAATATTTATCTGATAGCACTCTATGATTCCTGCAAATATTCCATGACTTTCATCTGATTCTAAGAAACATAGTATAAGGTGTTTGTTAAGTACTAATCAAAAGTAGATCATTTGTTTTTGTGAGGCCACTATCATTTCTTTAGTGCACTGATCTGTATGTGTTTTATATTAACTCTAATTTCACAAAAATGCTTGATGGGATTCTATATATAGCATTTATTTATCTACAAAATTTTCTTAAGCGATATATATCATTTCACAGTAGCCTATCAACAATGTATGACAAGATGATATCTGATACAAGTTATTTGACTCATCACAAATTTCACATCTCAAACTGAAATATTTTTTAATGACCCACAACCAGAAAGTGTATAAAATAAGAAAGTGTACAACATGTCCACAATCTTTAAGTCAAAAACCCACAAAATGGACAAAAAATCAATGAGGAAGACTTGACAAGTTGATGAACCAATCTGAAGTATTCAAGATGAATGGATCATTTAGATGTTAAAATGTATAGTTACATACATATTACATTTACAATTGATTTGTTGACTTCTTTGAGAGTAATACATAGCCTATTGTTAAATGCTGCACACTATGCTGAGGTTTATCAAATACATTGCCATGGCCTAACAGTAAGTAGTCAGGTAAAAAAGGTAAGTATAGTATATGATTGTATCTATACCCCTGTTCTTACAGATGATAAAAACATCTTCAATCTATATATAGTACACTATCACCAGTAGTTAGAATGGTAGACAAGTGGAAGCAATTGAGTTGTGGAGTAAAAAAAACTACTAGTAAGATATTTTTCTCAAGGAGGTGTATGTTCATTCAAATATCAAGTGAAATTAAGATTATCTTAAAGGGACTGTCCCAGATTCAGAAAATTTGCCTATGTATTCCTAACAAATTAGGGAGCTTCTTTTGGAAGTAAATTTTTCATGATCTGAAACACTCAAGGCAATTTGACAATTTAACTTTCATGAATTAAATATGAACCATTTTTTAAGTGGATGAGTAGATTTAATTAATTATCACAGGCCACTATTTCATTTTCATTCAAAAACTGATAGATAAGATTGAAATTCTAATGGATTTAACACTTTCCATTTTTACAGATACTTTATCTCTTCATGAACAAAACCAAAAACAACCACAGAACAGAAAAGATGCAGATGAAAAAAGATATTTTTGCTATTTCCTTAAGAGATTTGTAAATGATTTTTAATCCAGAAATAACCATAAGGATGACATTTTAAAACTATCATTATTCAACCCAAATCTGACAACCTCATCAATAACATAAAATACCAGATCCAAGTTTTACACCTACTTGTCTGCTTTATCAATCTGAATATGGTAAAATCAATTGGGAAATGGAATTAGAATTTATATATGGTTGTCATCGGCTATTTATTAAAGAACTAAAATGTCATCAATATATAAACGGATAATTCTGAATATAGCTTTATTAAGATGCTAAATGCTGATTATGAATTAAAAAGTTTTCTCCTGTGACTTCAAGAACGTAAGGACATACACAACTTTCTTTCCTGTGGCTCTTCATTAAAATCTTGAAGATGATGTTTAAATGTCAATGGTCTATTGATATTTAGCTGTAGTTACTAATAAGATTGACTAAATCCATTTTTGATATATATTTGACGTTGATTATATTCTTGATATAGACAAATGAGATAATTTCCGAACAATTGGATTACATTCCATATAAATTCTAATTTTTTGGACGAATATCAGAATGTCTGGTCTGGATAAAATTTAAAAAAAAAACTACTGATATCATCTATTATATTTCTGACAATCTAAGAACCAGGAAGATCTTTGTGAAAAGTTCCTGCGGCATTTTTATAAATTAGGAATATGATATATTGGCAGGCACTAGAGATGAAAAGTTCTTCAGTATGTGTAATGACTTCTCCAATAGACAATAAAACATCAAAGCCAATTAGCAGAAGCTAATAATAGGATATAAAAAGCTATTTCTGTATCTGGTCTTGGCTGTAGGGCTGTACCTGGCAGTCAAAGTACTAATTTCTCACTATTTATAGCAACATCAAAATATAAATATTGGCTTCATGCATTAAATACTCATTAAATGGTTTATTTATAGTAGATGTATATTTGTCTAGCGCTGGCTGCAGACTGGTCTGGAAAAATCTGCATTAACCTTTGAACTTTAATTCACCATATCTAAGGGTGTCTTTATCGCCACACTTTAATAAAACAGAACGGTTGAACCATTGTAGATGAAAATTGCCTAAACTTTAATTTTTCTTTGCTGGATTTGTTTTTTTTTTTAAAGTAAAATTAAATGTAATATGAGTTTTTTTTTACGTTTCCTGAACAGCATGTTAATAGATAGTTAACTCATTTCAAAGAAGAAACTGCAAAGTTAATAACAGGCGCTGCAATTTATTTGACATTTTCTCAGATTCAACACAGTAGGTTTTTGGCAGCAAAATAAACTGGGCTTTTTCACTTTTTACAATGTTAATGTAAGACAACTCTTGTGATTACTGTTGACAATAGAACTCTTCAATTTTTAAGGTAGAAATAAGGTAATTGATCAAATGTTTAATAAAATTCCATGACATTGGAAAATCAGAACAGCTCTAATTTCAGAATAAATGTTGATTCAACATTATTACTTAAAACATTCACTTTTAAAATTAAGTGTTATTAGCTATACAAACTGCTAGTAATCTGATTAGATAACTTACTTTTACAAACTGATGACGGTAAAAATATAATGAAGGTTTCCAATAACTCTTGAAAAAACTTTATTATTTCACAATCATTCTATTGTTGCATTTTTTCAACATGTCTGTGGCATTTTCAAGTCAAAAACCTGATTACCGGCAAAATGCCAAATGACGTTTTAAAATGTCTGGGAATTTGATTTGAAAAGTTAATCATATTTCTGTGAAATAATAACATGAGAGTTATGAATCCATTATCTTTGCCTTTACATAATTTTTTTCAATGAATAACTATAATTAAGTAATGTTTCTTATAAAAAATTCAATATCCAGTAAACATGATCAAAAACATGATGATTTGCAAGGCCTTCTTTTCATGATATTCTGCAACCCAAAAAATTACCATGTGAGAGCCAATTATAAAATCCATTTCAATACAAAATTATTATAGTTTGAAAGGCTTACTTTTCAAAATATTCTGTAGCTCAAAAAACTATGACATGAACCTCTTGTATCAACCAAAATTCAAAATCCATCCATAGACAAAATGATACCTCTATCCATCACACATTAAAACAAAGCTACAGTTCGAATAGAGGCATCTA